ATATATATATATATATATATATATATAAATTGCCAGCTTTTGTTTGTCAATTTTGTATATATCAACGGATATTCCGCCATGTTTTCTACATTATTTTTAAAGTTTTCATTTGGATCTACTGTATTCACAGGTTCGCGTCATTACATTATGTACAGTATTATATTTTGTATGACGTGCAGTCTATTTAGATTTCTCTGTCTGTAGCAACTATTGTTGTACTGTATATGCCAATATTACAATCACCAGGCCTGTACAATCCGACCTACCTGCTATTTTAAGTCTATTCTATTGATAGAGAATAGTATAATTATTCGAAGCATCCTTATCGACATGTCATATAAATTGGAAGCTTGTTAATAACTAGAGTGCGATTGAAAATCGATTGGAAATTTCTAGGGAGGCCTCGCGAATTTACGATAACAAATACACAAAATACACCTGAGTCTTGTTATTCCGTGCCTTAAACACTTTTTAGCAGACAGGGTGGGTCACTGCAGACAGACGGTGTCCACCTAGGATGGGTGTTTGTCAGTTAATTGCTTTATAAATATAGACGTTGATATCATAACCATAGATAATTGTGTAAAATGATATCCGTTCTTTCTACTTAAAATCTCGCCGGTGATTCTCTTAATTAACTACGCTGTGTAACAGATTCAACTCCCGTTATCATATTTGTAGGTAATTTCTCTATTGACACATGTCCTTGGTCAATGAATTTCAAAAGTGGAACATATGTTTGATACATAAGGACGAATAATACAAGTAAGAGATGCCACATAAGAAATTTGAATTTTTTTCACATAACCATTACATAATCATTGTCCGTGCCATATGGACGTAGACCGCAAGCGGGCGTTTTCGTCAACAGTGAGAACATATCAAGCGCGACACTTCTCTCATATGGGAATGTGAGCAACCGTGTTACGTGGGTTTGATTTTCAGTTAACAATTACTTGTAACGTGTGCATCTTCATAGTACTTAGATGATTTTCCTCGTCCAGATTCAATCTTATTGATTACAGTTTGAAAATGGAAATTCATTTAAAAGCAGTGCAGCACTGTACAATAAGACGTTTTTAAGCGAAAACACGAACCTATGCGGCACAGTAGATTTCTTCGAATACAATAATGCGACTTCGAAATCCACAATCAAGCTGCTCAGTGCTTTTCAATTTATCAATTTTCGCTAATGGTATTTAGGCCTTTAGCGAACTAAATATGATATATTTACTTTGCACAACCGGATGATGATATTTTCCACTTGATACGATGGCTATGTATTTTCATACTTTCGCGAATATATGTCTTATATTTCTATCGAGCCAAGTAGCGGCGCAAGTTGTTGTGTTTACGACAGATAACGCTGGATACGAGTTTCCGAAAATTGTCAAATCGCACGCCGTATCGAAAACAACAATGACGAACCCCGGTGATTTAGCGAACCGAATTTGTAGGCTAACAGAGGAGACGGATATTATTGGAATAGCCGCAGCAGCTAGCGATAAAAGGCTGTATACATTGTCAACAATGGCAACTTACCTAAATATTCCTATTATTGGAATTGGTTCTCGTTCGCTTGTTTACTCGAATAAGGTAAGTTATTTTAATGAACATGACTATTCTATATACGTTATTCCTTATATAATTATTATCGGTATTATATACCACTAAATCGCAAATCACCTAGGCCTATATATATTTCATTTTTGGGACAATAAATTTTTTCCCAAAATGTATTTGCCACTTGTTGTATCTTTATTGTAGATTTTTATTAAATATAATGTATAGCACATATCAAGAACCATATATTATGCACCGTCTATTGCGCATTGAGAACGGCAAGATCAAAACTTGCCGTTTGACGGAAAATTGTAACTGTCTGGGGGTTAGATCTGCAAGTATATCCTATAGCTCTCCGTCCTCTAATGGGTATGATGCCTCCGTTGATAGGTTGCAGGTTCGAACCCTGCCAGAGACATTTTTTCATACAACTGATATAAAGGAACTTTTAGTTGATGAGCTTTAACTGAAGCCGTATTACAACATGGTATTTATCTTTTTGTAGATAGAAAAGTAAACGTAGGTAAACAGCCAGAAATAGAACCAGAGCTTTCAGGCAACACTAGTCTTTCCTCATTGGCACGTGGATATAACATGACTCCTGTGTAGACTCTATATCGATATTGTATTGTTTACATTATGCATAAAGGAGTCTACGAATTAACACCCGCCACTGTTTCTTTTACTGAAATTTAATGCGATTTCGTTTTCAATAAAACTAATAAGATATAATTATGATTAATCACGACCAGGACTCGGTGTATATACAAGGGCGTATCTAAGAGTCTGAAAATGGGGGGAGGGGATGGGGCGCGAAGATGAAGTGGGGGCTCGATGATTAGGTGAGCGGTCAGTATTTAGAGGGGGAGGAGGGGTTTAACTTGCAGTAAAGGGAACAGTGGCAGGTGTTAATGCGTATGCTCCTTCATGCATAATGTAAAAAATACAATATCATATATCGATATATAGGCTGAATATATATATATATATATACCGTTGTTAGAGCAATTTTAATTTTAAAAATAGGTCAATACGCGGGGACGATTATGAAGAAAGCGTGAAATACTGCCCTTGATAAGTAGGGAGATTGAACACGTGACGATCTCAGGCTTAAACAATTACAAAGGATAGACCTAGGCCCTACACAGATTTATATATATAATTTCATTCTAGAATTACGTGATCGTAGTATGACACTGAATAATTCCACACACCCATTGTCTACATCAATTTATCATAACAGATGCACATTAAAAATATAACTATTGATATCGTGGAAGGTCAGTACGGACTACTGTGCTTAACGAAGTAAAACAACGGTATACAAGTATCGAATTAATTTATTTAGTATACCGGTAGCTACTAGTGTCTTTTAGTTTTAAAAATTAACGTAAAACCAATTTATTTTAAATCACATTTTTCAACATATTAGTGTACCTGCAATGCTTCTTTACATTGTAATATTCATGATGATGCTGGTTGTGTTTGCTTACTTCCGTGTTTGTTTGAAATGTGGGATCTTTCTGAAATTCTGTGTGAGTTGCCTTTTTCAATTTTTTATCTTATTGTTTTTAATGCTATTTATGAGAATTCATCTCGTGTCTTTTAATGTTTTTCCTTAAATTGAATGTGTTTTTACCTGTAATTTACTATTATTATTATTATTATTATTATTATTATTATTGATATTAATAGTGATGATAATATTGTTAATATTTTAATTATTATTTAATTATTGTTGTTGATTTTTTTTTAAATTAATTAATGAACCACGGACTCAGGGAAGAACAACTTTTTACAATTTCTTTTTTTGATATTGTATTTTCTATGTTGAATTTGGGTAATAGCACTTGTTCGATATTATCAAATTGATTTCTGCACACGATTTTATATAAAAAGCATGTGACAGCGACGTAAAGCCTCTCTTCGCCGTAAGATAATGGGGATAAAAAGATAAGAAGTACTTCCTACTATGCATTTTCTGAAAGGAGAATCAGTAGACTTAGTCCTATAATTTTCATTATTTAATTTTAAAATATGGCTCCTGAAAATTTAAAAGGTCGGAGCTTTCGGGAATTCACCTACCCTACCGGGGGAAATTGACGGCTTCCAACATACACACTCCAATAGCCATAACTCATCAAAAGGAAATGCAATTAACCTTGCACTGGGCCCGTTCTCACTTAGCTACGGAGCTAGATAATGATGATGATGATGATGATGATGATGATGATGATGATGATGATGATGATGATGATGATGATGATGACGATGATAATGATGATGATAATGATAGTAATAATAGTCATAATAGGAAAAAGAGCCATTTTGTTATTGATAATTTTGATCGTATTAGTGTCTTCTTACCGCCATTGTTGAGTTTCTTTTACAAATCTTATTGAATGCATTTCAATCAATCTATCAATCAATCAATCAATCAATCAATCTTGATTGATTCACGTAGCACTTGAAAATCCACAGACCTTGTTTTAGTTGGGAGGCTTAACCCTCATAATTTTCAAAAAAATGTATCAAATAAAATAAAAATGTTACCGTACCGTATCATTTATTTTTAGGTTAAATGAGCTACGCCTCCTACCACGTAAAAGGCCTTTCTAACCAATTTATAGACACTCGCTGTTGGATGCATAACAATAAGATTTAATTTAAAAAAATTGATGAATGCAATTGTGAATTATCGATAGAGTAGCACAAAGCAGTGAACGAGAGTGATTAACATTTATATACATTTATCAATAATGTATCAGGTATATAATCAATGTCACCACATGGTTACTATGCCTTAGCATATTTCCCTATGTTGCTGAATAGCTGCTGTCAGTGGCCTGGAGCGAAAAATAGTAGTCATTGAGAGGTAGGCCTACGTGGTACTACATGAATTGTAAGTAGGCCTACGCTGGAAATCCCTCTCTAAGCCGTGATACAGTAATGATGGCTGATAATTATTGTAGGGTAATACTACGCAAACACTATATAGAAGAAGATAATCAAAACGTATTGTTTTGCATGAGTCTTAGATTTGGAAGGAATACTAATACCACTCTCATTTATAAGATTACGGTGCGTCATCACGCATGTCATTTCTTTTTTTTTTTCATTTACTCCACTCACATCTTGACAGCATGTACACCACGTCAATTACATCAAATAACTACTTGATTACATCAAGATGACAGTGTGATGCATTATATTAATGATATACAGCATCGAAGACTGTGTGTCGAGCAGATGAATTTAAACAATAAACTCCACACATTGTACATCTAATATTTGTTTAACGTCCGGTCACCAAAATACTTTAGGATCGGGATGTATTGCGACATCATCATGCCCATATATGGGCACATGACATACGTCACATAAAATTTGATAGTGTGGACAAAACTGATGATTTCCATATGAACACAAATTATAAATCAGACGCAAAAAAAATGTTTTGATAAGTATCTATTTGAAAGTTGATGACATTTGTCGTAGCAAGCCAATACATTACTTGAATGTTTGAGGTATTTTTCCATTTTGAGAAGTATATCATTAATACTAAATATTTCCCATATGAAAACATTTCGATGCCCAAGGGATTCGAACTAAGACCCTGTGATTGAAGGCGAATGTCGTACCGATCAGCCTACGGCTCCACTGAGGCCGCAAATGGAATTTCCCTTTCTTCCTGTGTACTTCAATTATTTATCGCTGTAACAGTACAACTGTATGCATTAATAAATATTGAAATGGTAAAAACTCGAAACCGGGTCCCCAATCAGTAATCACTAACTCCCTTACTTGCGTTTCATCGAGATAGAATAAATAATTCATTTGAGCAGAACGTAATACAATAAATAGAGAATTTGTTAAATCGAATTATTACTGTGCAGTGATTACAGCGTTATTATTCAATTGTTATTTCTAATAATCTGGAATTATTTCTTCGAGTTTTGCGTCGATGGATAATAGTGGTGGCCGAAAATTCGTTTACGATTAAACTTAATCATCATCGCAATCATCATTATCACTATTATTATCATCATTATAGACCTAATTATCATTATTATTAATATTATCATAATAATTATAATTTTCTTGAATACCTATATTATAAACAATATTATCATATTGATTTTTTTTAATTATTAATAATAGGCCTTGTTATTAATGTTGTTAATTGTTAAGATAATGAATATATTGTATGTAATAAACATAGCAAGTCTAATTTTTTGAATGGTGATAAACCAGAATTGTGACAATGTTTAGAACGTAACTATAACTACGAGAAATGATAATTATAATAATTAAATTATATTCGTTAAGGGCATTGCTGTTGTTATCAACATAATTAAAATTTTGATATGACAACGAGGTCGAAGGGCAGTTAAAGCCTGGTGGAATTGTCGTCTTCTCATCTAAGCGTCCTGGGTCTAATATTTGACAAATTTGACAGAATTTCTGAGTGATTAACAATTACCCCTTCTTCTCCCCGTATTTATTGCTATATAT